CACGCGGGCCCTCAGCCCGGCCTCCCCCAGCCCGCGGGCGGCCCCTCACCGAGGACGCGGGCGGCCGGCGGTGGGAAGGAGGGGTGTCGGGGCGGCAGCCCGGGTCTCCTCGACTCTGGCACGGCTGCGGTGGCGGTGGCGGCGGCTCCTCGCGCGTTCCTTTCTCTCCTTTCTCCAGCAACAAACAGGAAGTGCGTCACGCGCCGCCGGCGTGACGACGTCGACTTCCACCCGGCCAGACGCCGCGCATGCGCGCCGCGGGCCACTCCCCGCCCCCGCCTTCGCGAAGGTTCTCGACCTCTCTGCGGGCCGGGTTGGCCGCAGGGGCCTCGGGGTGTCCCGTGAGGGCTCGGCGACCGGAGCCCGGAGGGAAAAAGGACGGCCGGCGGCCCCTGCGCGCGGCGACAGAGCCACATGGCGCGAAGGGCCCGAGGGGGACCTGAGGCGGGCTGCGCCGCAGAGGGGCAGGTTGTCGCGCGGTTTCCTGGACAGCCGGCCAGTCTGTCTGCCCGCCGTCCGATCCTCGGACGGGAGAGCCCGGCAGGAGGCTGACTCGTCCCGTGGAGGTCGCACGTGTCGCGGTGCCTTCCGCTCGGGGCTGGCCCCGACCCACCTCACCTGTGCTCGGAGACGCACGAAGCTCTTTTCTCACACCCGTCGCAGACGACGTGCTGTGACAGCTGGTGCTGAGGCCCGGGGCTGCTGCTCGTCCACCTCCTCCACCGACTGAGGTCTTGCACTTACACGCCGAGACACCGTTTACCTGTAACAGCCGGTTAACAGTGAAGGAATGCAGGAAATGCCACCCATGAATATGCTGCTTTAGGATGCTGATTACTTCACTCGGGGGCCTGGGGGCACAGCGAGGGCAGGAAGGGGCGTTCTCTGCATTTCCCCATCTGCAGGTAGACAGGTCCTGCAAAAAGAGCTCAGTCGTCATGGATCCCGTCCCCGCAAATCTCTTCACCCTGTAGGAGACCGGAGGTCGACACCTCGCCCTATTCTTCTGAGGCCATTCATCTTTCCTAAAAATCTCTCCCCTAGGGAGAGGCTATATAAACTTATGGATCTGACTGGGTTTGAGGGTAGTCACTCTTTTTTCACGTGCTGCCTGCCCCCAGGCATGTTATGAATTTGTATACCTTTGCTCTTGTCAATCTGTCTACTCTCAGTCTATTTCAGATACTCAATTATGGAACCCTCAGAGGTAGAGGGAAAGTTTTCCCTCCCGTACAGTTCTGTCATTTAAGCAACTGGAATAGTTGGTTCATGTTTTTCTACTTCACAGCATAAGATTGCTTTATATTGTCTAGTCATTCTTTGTTTCTTAAACCCTAATTGTATTACCTTATGTCATACAGTTTTTAGCAGGTGATTGCTCGGTTAGCAAAAATAAGTTTTTAAGTCTGACTGAATTCTCCATTCCTTTTTTTTTAGTTGGTTGTATAAATGGTCAAAAGGAAGAAATAACACAATATTTGTTTATTATGGACATCTCATAATAAAATCTGAGATAATCTCAGCAAAGACTGGAATTTCATTCTGCTATATGCACAGTTTGGCATTGTCACAGGTAACCATATCAGCCAGCAGGTTGTTGGAGTTTTATTTCCATTGAGTGTTGACAGTACTATCATGTGACATTTCACATTTCAATATGTCCTTACAGCAATTGTGAGCCAATCTTGAAATGCAGACAGCACAGACACATGAATTTTAAATAGTAAGTTGCAAGCCAGCCACAAAAAGCTTTCTGTTCCCTCCTCCAACTATATATATATATATGTGGTAAGTTGCAAGCCAGCCACAAAAAGCTTTCTGTTCCCTCCTCCAACTATATATATATATATATATATATTCCCTCCTCCAACTATATATATATATATGTGTGTGTTATTAAATATCTGTCAGTGCAGTAAACTGTATCACGAGAAAAGCCGATTAGTACAAAACAAGATCCCAACCCTGATCAAATTCACATAATGGTTGGGGAGAACAGGCATAAACACCCTGACTTGTAAAATTAAGTTTGGCCTAAAGGTTTCTTCAGACCTACTGAACTGTAACCTAACTTGTGTGAACAGACTGCAACGTACCCTTGAAACCTTGATGTGTAAACAGGTTGTTGCCTACTCCTAACAAGCAGCAGAGTCTCAGCCAATTACAGGCAGCCAGCTATTCCAACCCTGTTCAAATAAGGCAAAGGCCCAGCTGCAACCAATTCTGCTGTTCCTGTACCTCACTTATCTTTTTATGTCTATAAATCTCACTGGAACATGCTGCAGGCAGTCCAGAGTCACTGTCAACCTATTCTGGTTCTGGGGGCTGCCCGATTCTTGAACTGTTCTTTGCTCAACTAAACTCTGTTAAATTTAATTTGTCTAAAGTGTTTGTTTTAACATACGGCAATATTTAAGTAACTCCCTGTGAAACGACAGAGAGATTTCAATGAAGATTGAGGATTTATTGCAAAATTAATGTTTGCCCAAATGATGGTGCTACTGGAAACTATAGTTCACAGGGAAAAGATCACCTCAAAATAGACCAGAAAGGATTTAAATTGGAGTGAAAAGTGTTTGGAGAGGAGCAAGGAGACAAAGTACAGAAGTGCAGAACAGGTCCTGGCAAGTGACCAGTCAGTTTGATGGGAGCAAAGCTTTTCAACAATGATAGAGATGAAAGGGTGACAGACTGAAAATGTTGGGGCCCCTTTGAGGTTAAGGACTTTACACTTTATCTTGTAGGCATTGGAAAGCCGTTGACGTTTTCTGAGCAGGGGAAGCCAAACAATGGCAAAGCTGTGGTTTGCAGGAAGAACAGAAGAGTAGGCAGACCAGTCATTCTCTGTGACTTCCTTTCCTCCTCTGTAAAATGGGGATAATAGGCTGATGTGAAGGTCAATTGGAGGTGCTTAGCTTAGTGCTGGGCACACAGTGACACTCAGTAAATAATAGCCCCTCTATGTCACAGGCCTCTTTAAAAAACTGACAAAAAGGAAAATGTGCAAGTGATCTGAGGGAATTTGTAGATGCAACATGCACACTCTGCAAAGTCCATTCATGAGTCCAGGGGCTTATGGTGAAGGTCCTGAATGACAGTTTGGCACTCTTTGTCAAACTGTGAAATTTACCTTTGACCCAGTAATAATACTTGTAGAAATTTGCCCTAAGGCAATAAATGCAGAGGTGGGGGGAAAATAAGGTATGTAAGATATGCACAAGATTATTGATCACAAGTGTGTAGGTAAGCAGTACCTCCTTACCATGGAATACCATGTAGGCCATACAAATAATCATGTAGTTAATGACATCAAATACATCCAAGATACATTACTGACATAGTATGTATAATGTGATTCCATTTTTGTACAATTGTACTCATTTGTGTGTGTGTATATATATATAAAATATATATATATATATTGAGTATATGTGTATATATACACACACAAATATATACTTAGAAAACTGAAAGAATATTCAGTAAATTTTTAAAGGTGCTTTATTTTAATTTTTAGTTTACTATACTTTAATTTATTTATTTTTATTGGTTATGAATATTCATGGGGTACAAAGTAAATTGTCACCACTCATGCCTAAGATGTGATGGCCAGATCCATACCGGGAGCATGCCCATTACCACAAATTGTGATTATACCCCATGTCCCCCACCCAATTATACCTCCAATTATCCCCAACCTCCCACCCCGTCCCCCTTTCCCCCCTCCACTTTGTATCCCTAGGTATGTTCTCTCCCTCTGCAAGTCCAATGCACCACTGTGGTCTTAAACATGCTTTAAATAGTGAGATTTCAGATACTTCTTTATGATTTTATATATTATTTGAATTTTTAATTATATTGCATATAAAATATTATTTATATTATATATTATTACATTATATATTATACATTTATACATAAATATATAAATAATATATGTATATATTAATATATAAATAATATATTTATATATATTTATTATATATATTATTTATATTGCAATAAAATATTACTTTTTAAAACAACAAATATAATTTTTATAAAATTAAAACCATTTTAGCTCACTTGGTTAGAGCACAGTGCTGATAACACCAAGGTCAAAGGTTTGGATCCTCATATGGGCCAGCTGCAAGAAATAAAAAAAATTAAAACCATGAAACACAGAAAGCCCATATAGAACACTGCATAGTATGGCTGTGAGTTGGTAAGATGCTGAAATAAAGTGGGATCAGTGCTGACGAGAAGCATGCTTTCATATATGGATTTACTGAACATGTATTGAACACCTACTGTATACCAGCAGTATGCCAGGCTCTAGGCACAAGTCATAGAAGACAGGACCCCTTGCCTGGAGGAGACTAGAATGAGAGAGAAAGAAGCCTGCAAGTTCTGGTGCTGTCATGAGTGTTGTGAGGAGCACAGGCTCCAGGCCCAGAGGAGAGGCACGGGCATCAGGTTGCCATCGGGGTGGGCAGCCAGGGTCCAGGGAAGCTCTCCAGAGGATAATTCAAGTGAGCTAATGATTGAAGGTGTAGACGGACAGAGAATTCCAGATGCAGGAACCATTTTCAAGGGTGGCTGAGACAAAAAAAGAAAACTTTTTAAAACTTAAGCTGCTTCAGGTTCTAGGGATGTCAACAGGATTTCCTTCTGCAAGATTCTTTTTTGGTTATAGAAAGAAGGCCATCTTATAGGGAAAAATCTGTCATCTTTGTGGGCAGAAGAGTATCTTTGCAAAAATCACTACAATTTTCACTGAAGAAGCGGGCAGTGGGGGACCTGGGGCTCCAGAGAAGACAGCTAGAATAGGGGGCCTGGAAGGGGGCAGAGCCCGGGCCAGGGGACTTCTGAAGTGGGGATAGTGGACGGCCAGTTCAAAAGGCTTCTTCCTTAATCTTTCATTCCTTTTGGGACAAGCTCCAGTCTTCAGGAGAGGTTATTGACCATTACAGGCTAGTGTTAACCTCCTGTGCATGGCAGGGGTTGTTTTCCGGGGAAAGCCTCTCTGAGCAGCAGTCTGGAGCAAAGGGCACGAGGGACAGCTGGGACAGGATGGCCCCTGGGAATCCTCAGAGGAAGAGCACCATGAGAGGGGAGGCTTCTAGACTATTTGCAGTCACTTTAGAAGGAGACCCAAATTTGACAACTGAAAGTAACAGTGACTGGGAAAGACTTGGAAACATTTA